GGGAAGGGTCATAAAACTTGCATATTGCTATCCTAGGTTTACTGCTTCTATTGTTCTCAATTGTAAGTCGCTTTGGATAAAAAATGTCTGTTAAATGAATAAATGTAAATCTGTTGTGGTTTGATGCTGTCTTTCCTGCATACAAAATGGTTAATTAATTCTGTTGTCTATCCTATGGCTAGCAAGTTTAACCCTCCTACCAGATATTGTTATTTGGATATTATCAATCAAATAATGATTCATTATATTTGAATAACCAACAGTGTTAACTTTTGCCTTTTTAACATTGCCAACATGTTTTTCCAGCACATGTGTCTAGCAAGTAGGCTACACTACAAATACATTACATAAACAGAATGTAGAAACGAAAAATGTCTCAGATGATCCACTGTTTATGACTGCAAGATTCTAAGTTAAGGTAGGCTAATTAACATTCAGTGACTTGCTAACGTCTATCATGATAGTGCGACTTCTATGAGTCTATCCGTGCTGCACACCCCTAATTAATGCTCCTAACCGTGAAAGATTGCAGAAGCTAGGTTTAACTGTAACAATATCCTGGGTAACCAGGATCACCAGTTAATACTATTTTCCACAGTAGAATCTGCATTTGAAAGCCTGGTCAGTCACTACTACTGCTAATTATTTGTGTGGCTAGTTATTTTTGCCTACACTCTGCTTTATGAAAAAGCTTCGTATGTCCCCTTTCTTCTTCTTGGGTGACATAGCTGATCTACAAAGTACAAAAAGGGGCAAAAAAACCGGAATATTAAAATGTTTTACTCTGGCCTTTGTATATGGCAGGCAGAGAGACAGCCCTGGTAACTTACCGTCGGCGTCGTCACGCGCACACACACACACGCACACACCACCCGCTCGCTGCCAGTGAGTGCAAGCACAAAAAGTAGTCCCGGCCCGCGCGTGTAGCCTGCCTGTCAGATACCCCGCCGCCAATCAAATTACGGCGTATCTTGTACTGTAGTCGTCCTGGCCGTTGGAATCGATCCAAATAGCAGCGCAAAGATCCAAATGCAGCGCAAATATCAAAATAGCAGTTCAAAGGAGCTTGCTAAATATTGGTGGGGACAAATTTGTCACCTCAAAATATTGATTGGGACTAGTACCTAGCGTCCCCCCCTAAACCTACGCCCTTGCTTGGACAGCAAGGATGCTCTGATGGCTGCTGCCACAATGCCCAAATTCAAGGTCCGCTGGCTCAAAGATGAGAAGAGAAGAGATGCTGTTAAAACCATGCTAATCTCTGAGTGTCGTGGCCGGATTCCTGAAGAGCCACTGATGAGTCGAGCAGTTGAGAGCCCTGCCACCTCCAGGCAGTCACAATGACTTTTTTGAATTTGAAGAGGAGTTTTCCTACACAGCAGAGACTGAAGTCATGGAGTACTTAAAATTGCCTGGATCTGAGTGGGATGTTCTCTCCAAGTTCCCCAGGATTAAGAAACGTGTGTGTTGACCCCATTTTAAAATGACCCCACCATAGCTTCCTTTATCCTGTGGTTTGTGGATTTTACAGTGAGGCATATTTCTTTGTGCAGACAGGTATATTGTTCTTTCATATGGTTTTGCATGCCATTTTGTATACATTTATACAATAAACACTATGCAGACAGGCTAAGTGATGATAGGGGTATGATATTTGTCCATGTATACACGGTAAATTAAGAAACGGGAAAGTAAAGTAATAAGTAGTGAAGTTACTTTTCAAATGCAGTAACTAGTAAAGTAATCTTATTACAATTTACAGAAGTAACTAGTAACTAATTACTTTTTTTGAGTAACTACCCCAACACTGGCTCTGGGGTGGCTTCATACCAGCACATTTCGTCTCCACTCAAAGGATTCTGGGCTACCGACTCTTGAGACTGGTTATCTTCCATGTTTAGCGACACGTGTTGAGAAATCGTTAACCTTTCAGAGTTCCTCTTTTTCTTTTTAGACTTGGGCATTCGTGGTAGTCTACAATTACTACGTCTTGCTATATGTTCGTTTTCCTTATGTCTTTTCTTCTGAAGGTTCTTGCATCAAAATTTTTTTTTTTTTAAAAGGCAGTAATATCATAAACCCTTCGAAATTGCTCGCAGAGCGACAAGCACACGTCCTCCTACAACGCTGCCATCTTGGGAGCCCCAAATATTTAATTTCAACATTTCTGACAATGAAGAATTTACGTCATAGACTGTAACACACGTGTCTGTCAGATCGGCGTGATGCCAGACCGGTGGCTGACAAACAAACAAACAAACAAACCGGCGGGTGTGTCATGGGCCATGGATCCCAAGGGGAAAAAGAGAAAGATAGCTGAGCACTCCCAACGCACTCTAGTGCGGCGCGGGACTAGATTTGATGGCCGAGCGCGAGCGCGGGCGCGTGCGGTAATGCACTCACTCTACTAAAACAAAATAGAAACGATTTACAGCCAGGCCAGAATTTCTATTCATAACGTGTTTGCAGCGTTGAGCGATATAGCCAATCACAGACATATGTGTTGATTTCTTGAACGCAATGGCCAATCAGAAGCATTTAAGATAGACTCCCCTCACCGCTCAAAACTGACGTTTTTGTTCAGTGCTGAATTCTGTATGCTGGCAAATCCTTTAATTATAACGAACAAAGTGTGGATATTATGAAAGATTCATTGTGCAGTCAGCTTCATTGATAATAACAGAGATGTGTGAGATCGCGATGAACTGTCAGCTTTTTAGGAATTATTAAGAGAGCGCACTTGGCGCGCATTCAGTCATGGTAAACTGCTTGCTTTTATGTTAAATTAACAGTGGTTTGTGTTTTAATGCTTTAATAACAAATAATTTATCAGGAAGATGTATGGTGGCGACACGTAGGCTAACTTGAAAGTATTTGGAGGTACAGAAAAAAAGTGTATTTGCGGGCGGGAGCGGGACAAAACATAAATGTTGCGGGCGGGAGAAAGAAAGTTGAGAACGTCAGTTATAACGACCCACGCATTAAAAAATGGTCGGGTTAAAATCGGGCTCGGGCTCATAATTACGTTTAATGTGTCGGGCCGGGCTTAATTTTTTGGGCCCGATCTAAGCTCTAATTTGTAGCCTACTTATCATTTTGATACTAATAAAGCTAATAGCCTATAACACTTACAGCATGTGTTGCCTTCATTATAAGGCTTATATAAAGCTTTTAATTTTTTGCGGCTCCAGACAGATTACTATTTTTTTTTTTTGGGTCCAATATGGCTCTTTCAACATTTTGGGTTGCCGACCCCTGCCTTAAGGGCATCCAAGATGTAGGTGTCTTTGTTTCCGCAGTAGTTTCAATTTTGATATTTTTAGGTCAAACCGTTCTTGTCTGTCAGTCATATAATGCAGGTCTATGGTCTCCACCTCAAAGAGCAGCACAGAGAAGTCCAAATTTAAACATGATTTAATGACTCGTAAATGTAAGTACACATTGATGGCCTAAGACACGAAACGAGCGGTTTGTGTGAGAAAACGAACAGTATTTATATAGTTTCTTGTAACGCACAGACCGAAGCGCCGGCGCCCTCAGATCACTTGGACGTGGCTGTGGTTACTAGGGTTGCCAACTGTCCCGAATTAGCCGGGACGTCCCGATTTTTGGGCCTAATTTATTTGTCCCGATCGGGACTTCTCTTGTCCCGATTATTGAGTGCTACGCTGATCTGACTGATACAACAGCAACACAACCCGTAAATTAGTTCAAATCTCCTAGAATCTAGAGCTGCGCATGCGAGACAGAACATTATCCAGATTATTATAACATTATCTAGGAGTTTCCTGGTCGTAAATTGGACATGAACAGGTCATATTTACGGGTGTTTCTCAAGGCTGCGTTTCTCGGCTGTCACGCTGAAGGCCGTCTCAGTTTGAAGGATCCTTCGTTTCGAGTCCTTCATTCGGCCTGTTTTGAAGGATGCATCGGATGTATCCTTCGCGATCCTATCCTTCACCCACAATCCTTTGCACACATTCAAATTCACACAAAAAAAACCTGACGAAAACAGTCAGTACTGAGCCTTTCTGAGTTTATTATGAAAATAATGCTTTCGGACATGAAAGCATGTTATCTTTTGTTGCAGTAAATTAATCACGAACACTAAACTGACAGTAAGCCACTGGGAGACAGACGGCTCCTTCACAGCACTGCATTAATAGACAACCAGTTAACAAAGTTTTAACAGTATTTCCATGCCGTGAGCGTAATCGCTCGGGAGGACAGTAGTTTACAAGCCTCAGAAGTCCCAGACTAACACTCTACTACGGCGAGATCATTTTGATACCCGAGTTTCCGAGTTGGTCGGGTCCTAAACTGTAGACATGGCGGAGGAGAAAACGACTGATGTTCTGTTCTTCATTAGCTTTTCCACAACAGCTGCATCACCATGTCTTGATGAAAAGTTGTAGGGGTGGCAGTGGCTCATGTAGATTGTCTACAAACCAGAAGGTTGGTGGTTCAATCCCCGGTTCCACCTGACCGTGTGTGTGTGTGTGTGGCCTTGTATGGCTGACACCGACGTCGGTGTATGAATGGGTGAATGTGAGGCAATATGTAAAAGCGCATTGGTGGCCATTGGGTCTGTGTAACCGCTATATAAATGCAGTCCATTTACCATTTGATGTTAAAGTAGTGCACATTTATGAATAATCATTCAGATTATTGTATGTTTTACACAGTGAAAATAACCTGTATTTTACAGCAAGCTGACTATCTAGATAGTGTGGTGGTCAATGTTTATATGGTTGTAAGTGAACAGGACGCAACATTTTAATTAAAATTATCTTCAATACATTTAGCCTATAATAAGATTTCCTGGTGTCCTCCATGATTCCGGTTCGTCCTGAGAGCAAAGCCCTTGAAAAGTGGGATACTTCTGATAGCATAAATCATCGAGCTTCTCCAACAGGGAGTTCCTCCTTATTAATGCAAGCTTTAAGTCATTATTTTTCATTTCTCATAACATCTAGACATATTTTCTCAATCCAGTGAAATCATTTAAAGCATTTTAATAAAATCTTCTACAATGACAAACAGATCAAACAAGCATTACATTACAAAGCAGACATTCTGCACCTCACGAAAGTTACAGGATGAGACTCTACAGGACAGTTTCAGAAGTGATCATAACGAGGGTGAACGAGTCTTCCGGTGTTCACTCCCGCCACAGTGGAGACTGTGATGCTCCCGCCGGCGTCTCCGGGAGCTGCAGCTTCTCACACTCGGTGAGCTTCAGGGGCAAATGCTGCGCGATCTCGTTGGGGTCTGTGTAAAGCGCAGGAGGAATGTGCTGCAAAGTCAACAGAGACAAACACACCAGTGTCAGATACAGAATAATGCGACACACACTATTTGCCAGTTTAATCAGTGTTAATAAACTTGTTTGGGCCCGATGACAACGCGTGTTGAAGTGTCCACTATCCTCTCCCTATGGAGGATCCCTATTCCACTCTACAGATAAAGCGTTGTGAAATTTCGGTTCACGTACCAACCCCAAAGTGATCAAATAAAATTCTGTATAAAAATGTATAGGCAAGACAAGTAGTTCGTTTAGGCATGGTCTGTAGAGAATTACAAACCTGCGCACATATATGCAAATGCACATAACTATAGAAATACTTAATGCGCATGTGAACGCCATCAGGTCACAGGTTCGCGTTTAAAGTCTGTTTAGAGAGAACAGTGTCGTCTTAGCGGCCCCTAATTTAATAACAAATGATCATTTCGACGGAAGTGAATCAATCAAAACTAACTTTAGCTGGAAAATAACATTATTCAAGAACCGCTATAAAACCAAAACAATCTCTGTTAACTCAAATTATATGTTTATCTCTGTAAAGCTGCTTTGAAACAATCTACATTGTTAAAAGCGCTATATAAATAAGGATGACTTGACTTGAAACAACATAAGGGCGAGTAAAAGATGACAAAATATATATTTGGATAAATTGTCTTTAATCTCTCTCCGGCTGAGGAGAGAGTCTTGGATGGCCTGAGGGCGAGTAAACCATCAGGAAACTCAAGTATTTCTTGAGTAAGCAGTTAAAGCACTCACCTGAAGATCTGATATTTTACTTTCACGTGTGCTGAATTCTCGAAGCATGTGGTTTCTTCCAGCCTGCAGAACAAAGAAGTTTAAGAACCGCTGAAATCATATTTGAACATTAAAGCATTCAACGCCGTCTTGCCTCGTGATAGAGACGGGTGTCGTTGATCCTGATCATCACTCCATCCACTCGCAGGAAGAACCGCAGCAGGAGGAAGAAGCTGGTGGGCATCACTCTCTGAAAACACACATCGCTTTACCAACCAGTAATGCTGCACATCTGCAGATCAAGCCGAGAACACTCACGATTTTGACACTGATCATAGACACGCCGTGATCATGCAGCTCGTCCTCGAACAGCAGCACGTCCTCGAAGAACTGGATCTGTTCTCGCGCCTTCAGCTTCTCCATGTCGATGCGGTCGGCGGTCGGCATCACCTGGTCACGTCAAGTCTGTTATTTATACTGCGCTTTTACAACACAGAGCGTTTCAGAGCAGCTTTACAGAGATAACAGGAAAATAATGCAACAGAGTTTGTTTCCAGAAGAAAATAGTGTCACAGTCCAGCTTAAGTCAGTTCAGTGATGCTTCATTTCTGATGTAAAAAAGTTATTAATTATATATATATATATATATATATATATATATATATATATATATATATATATATATACACACAGGGCCGGCGGAAGCGCTATGCAAACTGGGCACTTGCCCCCACACCATGACGAGCACCTCAAACTTGATCTGCGATCGACTATACGTTTACATGAAAAACAAATGATCCATTAGTAATCGGATTGACGGCTCAATCGGACTGAAAAACCTTCCTCTAAACACCTTAATCGAGCGGAGTGTTTATTCCTTTTCTAATCCGATGGAGAGAACATATGAACACTTGATCAGATTGAAAACCCAAACTGAAAGGACTGCGCATGTGCGATGTAGAAATAGCTTAATGACGTAGAAATAGCTTAATGACGTAGAAATAGCGTAATGACGTAGAAATAGTGTAATGTAGAAATAGCGTAATGTAGAAATAGCATAATGATGTAGAAATAGCGCAATGACGTAGAAATAGCGTAATGTAGAAATAGCATAATGACGTAGAAATAGCGTAATGTAGAAATAGCATAATGACGTAGAAATAGCTTAATGACAAAGAAATAGCGTAATGACGTAGAAATAGCGTAATGACGTAGAAATAGTGTAATGTAGAAATAGCGTAATGTAGAAATAGCATAATGATGTAGAAATAGCGCAATGACGTAGAAATAGCGTAATGTAGAAATAGCATAATGACGTAGAAATAGCGTAATGTAGAAATAGCATAATGATGTAGAAATAGCGCAATGACATAAATAACGTATAGTAGAAATAGCGTAATGATGTAGAAATAGCGTAATGTAGAAATAGCATAATGATGTAGAAATAGCGTAATGTAGAAATAGCGTAATGATGTAGAAATAGCGCAATGACTAAGAAATAGCGTAATGACGTAGAAATAGCGTAATGACGTAGAAATAGCATAATTAGAAATAGCGTAATGATGTAGAAATAGCATAATTAGAAATAGCGTAATGACGTAGAAATTGCGTAATGACGTAGAAATAGCACAATGACGTAGAAATAGCACAATGACGTAGAAATAGCGCAATGACGTAGAGCGTAATGTAGAAATAGCGTAATGTAGAAATAGCGTAATGACGTAGAAATAGCGAAATGATGTATAAATAGCGCAACGACGTAGAAATAACGTAATGACGTAGAAATAGCGTAATGACGTAGAAATAGCGTAAAGACGTAGAAATAGCGTAAAGACGTAGAAATAGCTTAAAGACGTAGAAATAGCTTAAAGACGTAGAAATAGCGTAAAGACGTAGAAATAGCGTAATGACGTAAAAATAGCGCAATGACGTAGAAATAGCGCAATGACGTAGAGCGTAATGTAGAAATAGCGTAATGTAGAAATAGCGTAATGACGTAGAAATAGCGAAATGATGTATAAATAGCGCAACGACGTAGAAATAACGTAATGACGTAGAAATAGCGTAATGACGTAGAAATAGCGTAAAGACGTAGAAATAGCGTAAAGACGTAGAAATAGCGTAAAGACGTAGAAATAGCGTAATGACGTAGAAATAGCTTAAAGACGTAGGAATAGCGTAATGACGTAGAAATAGCGTAATGACGTAGAAATAGCGTAATGACGTAGAAATAGCGTAATGACGTAGAAATAGCGTAATGACGTAGAAATAGCGCAATGACGTAGAAATAGCGTAATGACGTAGAAATAGCAATAGCGTAATGATGTAGGAATAGCGTAATGACATAGAAATAGCGTAATGATGTAGAAATAGCGTAATGACGTAGAAATAGCGTAATGACGTAGAAATAGCGTAATGACGTGTGATGCGCTGAACGAGCTGTTCCTCCTGTTGAATAAAGTGTCGTATAAACGAGCTCATCCTGTAATCCTCGTTCTCTGCGTGTGTGAAGTGGAGCAGGACGACGGGCACCAGTGCCGCTTCAGACTCTCACACACACACCACTGGGTTTGGACAGTTTTACTGCGTGATGATCAAATATAAGGCAGCACGCCACAACAGCTCATATTATGACCAGAGACGGATATTAAGTCTGCTGTTTAAAACAAATCAAGAATCAATCTAGGAGAATAGTTATTATGCGCAAACATCGGGAAACTCTGTATATTCGTGCAGTGAGCGCACGTCAAAAAATATATTTCGATTTGAAGCTTGTGACTTATAAACACACACATCAACCCGAACACATTATTTAGTGTTCATGTAAACAGTGCATTGGGATTCATCGATCGGAATGAATTCAGTGCGACTGGAAGGTGTGCATGTAAACAGATCGTTTGAATGGATTGGCCGAAATTTCATTTGAGCACGAAATCTGTCGCAAATCGTATTACTCCCAGAAGAGCAGCCGGAGCAAGAGCACTCATTTAAATTGTGAGTCAACTAATTCATTACACCGGTCTTAAGTCAACAGTAGTGGTCAATATGGGATACATTGGCATTTTTTCTCTTAAATACGTGAGCGTAGGGGGCGGCGCTCTGGAGACACCGTGATGTCATCGTCCAGCTCAGTTCAGCTCTCGTATAATGGTGTCGATGCAGCAGAGCAGAATATTGCTGATCATTCTAGCTCTTCTGAGCCAGAGTTAAAGCACAGAATACCTTGATCTGCATGTGCTCTCCCAGTAAAGTCCCTCTGTAGTCGGTTGTGTACGTCCAATCGTAGCGCTTCACCACGTCCTTCGAATGCTCCGAGTCGGCCCTGAACACACACACACACACAGATTCTCCTGCGTCAAAGCCTCTCTTCAGGCGCTCCTGCCAAGCACACACACTATACCTGCTGTCCTGCCACTCCTGGGCACAGGCCACCTTCACCGAGTCCTGCACGTTGTTGACACGTTTGAGCGCGTCGATGGCGTTGAACTCGATCCCGAAGCCGTCGCTGTGCTGAAGGCGCAACACGTTCTCCCCGAACAGCATCTCTGGCAGAGCCGGCATGTGCATCGTCTCCGCCAGCCTGCGACACACACGTCATGAGCTTTCATCATCATCATCATCATCATCATCATCATCATCATCATCAACAACAACATCGTCTCCGCCAGCCTGCGACACACACGTCATGAGCTTATATCATCATCATCATCATCTTCATCATCATCCTGCTCCCATTAATCTGATGTGCTCGTAATAATGTTCAGATACAGCAATGGCTGACTGGCCAGATTACATCATGTGACCCATCTCTCACTCGAACATCAGCTGGGTCTGCGATGAATCACAGTTTAGTTTCGGTTCAGATTTCGGCTTCCAACGATAACGAAAATGTGATAATCAAGATGATCATTGTGCCGCATATTCCTTTAAAGCAGAGTCTTCCACCCCTCCTTAAAGCCCAACCCCCCGTCCCGATCAGCCCGATCGTGTGGCGCGCCTGAGGGGAACGCATGGGACACGCTCTATTCCAACTAGAGTTATTAAAGACATGTCGCTCTATTCCAACTAGAGTTATTAAAGACATGTCGCTCTATTCCAACTAGAGTTATTAAAGACATGTCGCTCTATTCCAACTAGAGTTATTAAAGACATGTCGCTCTATTCCAACTAGAGTTATTAAAGACATGTCGCTCTATTCCAACTAGAGTTATTAAAGACATGTCGCTCTATTCCAACTAGAGTTATTAAAGACATGTCGCTCTATTCCAACTAGAGTTATTAAAGACATGTCGCTCTATTCCAACTAGAGTTATTAAAGACATGTCGCTCTATTCCAACTAGAGTTATTAAAGACATGTCGCTCTATTCCAACTAGAGTTATTAAAGACATGTCGCTCTATTCCAACTAGAGTTATTAAAGACATGTCGCTCTATTCCAACTAGAGTTATTAAAGACATGTCGCTCTATTCCAACTAGAGTTATTAAAGACATGTCGCTCTATTCCAACTAGAGTTACTAAAGACATGTCGCTCTATTCCAACTAGAGTTACTAAAGACATGTCGCTCTATTCCAACTAGAGTTATTAAAGACATGTCGCTCTATTCCAACTAGAGTTATTAAAGACATGTCGCTCTATTCCAACTAGAGTTATTAAAGACATGTCGCTCTATTCCAACTAGAGTTATTAAAGACATGTCGCTCTATTCCAACTAGAGTTATTAAAGACATGTCGCTCTATTCCAACTAGAGTTATTAAAGACATGTCGCTCTATTCCAACTAGAGTTATTAAAGACATGTCGCTCTATTCCAACTAGAGTTATTAAAGACATGTCGCTCTATTCCAACTAGAGTTATTAAAGACATGTCGCTCTATTCCAACTAGAGTTATTAAAGACATGTCGCTCTATTCCAACTAGAGTTATTAAAGACATGTCGCTCTATTCCAACTAGAGTTACTAAAGACATGTCGCTCTATTCCAACTAGAGTTATTAAAGACATGTCGCTCTATTCCAACTAGAGTTATTACTAGAGTTACTAAAGACATGTCGCTCTATTCCAACTAGAGTTATTAAAGACATGTCGCTCTATTCCAACTAGAGTTACTAAAGACATGTCGCTCTATTCCAACTAGAGTTACTAAAGACATGTCGCTCTATTCCAACTAGAGTTACTAAAGACATGTCGCTCTATTCCAACTAGAGTTACTAAAGACATGTCGCTCTATTCCAACTAGAGTTACTAAAGACATGTCGCTCTATTCCAACTAGAGTTATTAAAGACATGTCGCTCTATTCCAACTAGAGTTATTAAAGACATGTCGCTCTATTCCAACTAGAGTTACTAAAGACATGTCGCTCTATTCCAACTAGAGTTACTAAAGACATGTCGCTCTATTCCAACTAGAGTTACTAAAGACATGTCGCTCTATTCCAACTAGAGTTATTAAAGACATGTCGCTCTATTCCAACTAGAGTTATTAAAGACATGTCGCTCTATTCCAACTAGAGTTATTAAAGACATGTCGCTCTATTCCAACTAGAGTTATTAAAGACATGTCGCTCTATTCCAACTAGAGTTATTAAAGACATGTCGCTCTATTCCAACTAGAGTTATTAAAGACATGTCGCTCTATTCCAACTAGAGTTATTAAAGACATGTCGCTCTATTCCAACTAGAGTTATTAAAGACATGTCGCTCTATTCCAACTAGAGTTATTAAAGACATGTCGCTCTATTCCAACTAGAGTTACTAAAGACATGTCGCTCTATTCCAACTAGAGTTATTAAAGACATGTCGCTCTATTCCAACTAGAGTTACTAAAGACATGTCGCTCTATTCCAACTAGAGTTACTAAAGCAGGGTTCCTACACATTTTCCATTTCAAAATTCCATACTTTTCCAGACTCAAATTTCCAAACCTCTTCTGTAGATTTTCAGACCGTATTTAAAGTGCCCCTATTATGCTTTTTCGGATATTCCCTTTCATGCAATGTGTAATGCAGCTTACTGCAAAGTTACGAAGACAAAAGAGCACACGTAAAATAAAGTTAATGTTTCTAAAAAAGAAAGAATCGACTCTGACCCGCCTAAACAAGTAGTCAGGAATTTGAATCTTCCGTGAGGGCTACACGTCACTGGGTAACACATTTGCCTAATACCCACAACCAGTGGTTAAAGTGGGATTTGGCAGGTGCCAGGTGGGGGAACCCTCAAATTTTGCGTAGGTGCAACAGGGAAAAATTACTCACCGTAGGACAACATATTGAGTATCGTGGTATAGCAATACTTTTTGGGACAAGAGTGTGACTGTGGCACCACGTATCACACTTATTGACTTGATATTTTAATGGTTTTATTTTGGTCCATCAACACTGATATGATGACTATACTATATGTTAAAATTGCTGAACACTGGGACAAAAATTTAGCCCTGGCACTCTAGCCACCCCCCTCACGGCCCCACTCACACAGACATGTGCATTTAGATGTTAGGTAGTTAGGGGGGTTGGGGGGTATGCTCCCCCGAGAAAATTTTGATTTCTCTGACCTACATTTGTGCAATTTAAGACTTTTGAAGGCCAAAACAATGGATAACAAATAGCTTTAAAACCATGTCAGTGCGGGCATTAGATTATTTGTCAATACCTGCTCTCTCCTCATCTTCATCTTTCTTTTTCTCTCAGTCTCCTTATCCTGCCCTATTTCTACCTAAACCCCCTGAACTTTGACTGATAGTCTTTTCATTTTCATCTGTGTCAGTGAAGAAAGTAAACATAGGCTCAACTGATATTTATATGTTTTATTAATCATTTTCTTAGATAAGTTAATTTACTCAAGGCTACCAGGTTAGTATTGCCAATAGGAACCTTCTACAAGCTTTGGAATTTGAAAAGTAATTTTAAATAATACAAATTATAGGCTACGTTTAACGCAGTTGGTGGAATTGGCAGACGTTCCCTTAAGGCCCGTTCACACCAAGCACGATAACTATAAAGATAACGATAAAGATAACTGTATATGCGTCCACACCAACGACTGATAACGGTCTTTTTATTCTAAGCACGCACGCGCCCGCGCTGCGGTTTCAAAGTAGACCTTTAAATTAGAATGGATTCTGATTGGCTGTCAGTGTTTTATCGTTCGACAGCTGGAAAAAAAAATCGTTCTGAAAGTGATCCCAACGATATCGTTCCTCATATCTTTATCGTTATAGTTGTGGTGTGAACTCTGTTATTCTTTAATATGGAGAACGATTTTTAGAATTATATCTTTATCGTTATCTTTATAGTTATCGTGCTTGGTGTGAACGGCCTTTAGGCCTCATGCGTTGTGGAAACGCATCAAAGCATTCTCAGGTATAAATATGCAGCATTAATGCACATAGGTGATTTTGAACGAATATTTAATGTCGATATACAATGGTTACATAATGTTAAAACTATACCTGCTATTGATATCTTTGTAAGACTGCCGACCCTATAGAACAGTGGCAAGGGAAACCAAATATCTGGCGAAATATCGAACCTAAAACTAACTTTACTATGATCGCTCGCGTTCGGACAATTCGTTTGAGAATCATTGAAAAATGTGGTGATGTACAATGTATATTATGAGAAAATGAAAGCAATTGTTGTAGGAGATCTCCAAAGCAAAATTAGTATTTTCACCAAAAAAAAAATGGTTTTAAAACAGTTATTTATATATTTCGCTGCAGTGTCAGTAGGAAATTTTAGTTTGCATTTCCAAACATTATTTTGCCATTGTAATAATCCAGTGAGCTTTTTATATAAGGAGTCTGACAACAGCTAGTGCTCCACACGTAGATCTGATCTCAGCTTCATCGAGTCCATCTGCGATTACATGAAGAAACAGAAAAAAACTACTAAATCCAGAAGAACTGTGGCAACGTCTCCAAGACTCTTGAAGAAATCTTCCTGAAAAGCTATATGCAAGTGTACCAGGACAACAGCTGTTTTAAACGCAAAGGATGGTCCCACCAAATATTGATTTGATTCAGTTTATAGAAGCTAATTGATAAATAATCTATGTATGACATTATTTTGGAAAGCATCCTCACTTTACAGCATATTTACACAAGTGCCTAAAACGTCTCACAGTACTGTACGTTTGCAGGAAGGTTTCAAGCATCTTGGAGACATTGCTGCAGTTCTTCTGGATTTAGTCTAAATTTCTTCTGTTTCTTCATATAATCACAGACAGACTCGATTATGGAGAGATCAGATCATACCGGCTCTTGTCACTCCTTGTGCAAACAAAAAAATCTCACTGGATTATTACCATTAATGGCAAAATGAATGTTTGGAAATGTAAGCTGACATACTACAGAAAAATATATAAATAACTGGCTTATAACCTGCATTTTTGCATGATGAAAAAGTGCACCTTGAATTCATTCAGTCATTTTTGACAATGACTAAATAGCTGCCTTGAAAACACACTTCTTGTATGATAAATTTGTTTTCATTAAATTCTTAATTTATTATTATAGAAAACTAAATAGGGTCAATAGTCTGGAAATGCAAATATTTTTCCATACTCTGCTTTCTGTTTTCCAT